CCTCCTCCTCCTCCTCCTCCTCCTCCTCCTCCTCCTTTCTCCTCCTCCTCCTCCTTCTTGTTTGTTTTTAGACAATAAAAAGCTGCTTTCCAGTGAGGGATTGTGTCTCTTTCTGGCTTTGTTTGTCCTTTAAAACCAGAAGGCTTCCTGACACATGGCAGATTTGAAAAGTAAGTGATTGGATCTTCCCAAGAGTATTCTTGGCCTTTTCATCATAAAAGTTTATGTTAGTACAAGATACACAAATTTTCTCTTTGGACTTCTAGAGACAGCTTAGTCTCACCTGGCTCTGTGGTAGGGGATGTTGAGGAGCAGAGCTGGGACAGACCATGCCTGAGCTCAGAGTCTCCAGTCCTGTTCATACCAGAAGTTAGTATATCCTCAAATGTCAGGAACACTTATCTAGTTCTGGGGGGCTAGGTTCAACAGTGAAGTGTGAGCTGGATGATGTCTGGGGAAAGCTGCCTTTCTGGTTTGGAGATGGTTACCTGTTCACGCCATCCTCATAAGTGGATAGGAAATTCTGTGATACGTCTCTTTGTTTAGAGTTTTGAAAATAGTCTTCTATAGCCAGGCTAGTCTCAAACCCATGGCATACCCTAAACTTACCTCAAACTCCTGATCCTGCTGCCTCAGCTTTAGGAGGTTCTGCTCCCTAATACACTTCGTTATTGTTGAGGCCATCAGCATATGAACTTGCATGACAGAAAGAATCCATGCCCACAGGAGTATAATATTTGAGGATCTTTATTAAATATGACATGCATGAAAACATTCCAACATAGTGAAATTACAGGGCTGAGACCAAAAACCACAGCTAGCATCAGTTAGCTTTCAAATGGTACTAACTCTAGAAACTGTCATATGGAAGTCTGACTTTGATGATCCTGTGGTTTGGCTACTCCTCTGTCCCCCGTGTCATAAATGTACCTCACTTAATTGCATTTTAACTTTACATCCCCAGATCGATGATCCACAGCAGGCAGTCCTGCCTTGAGCAAGTCTACCTGTGACTTTGTTCTCACAGTTCATATGATGAGAAATATTGGATAAAGTGCTTTAATCAAGCTTGTGTACTTTTAAGACAACTGCTGTGGTAGTACAGTATGCTGGAGACTATAGTACAACTTTGACAGTCACTGGGAAATCCGGAGTCTATCACTTGCTGTATTATGACATTACCTTATTGTATTGTCTGGTCCCAAACCCTCAGTATCTCTTGGTGTTGTGGGTTAGTATTAGCTTAAGCTTGGGAGCTACCAAAGAGCACAGGCTAATTCACTCTGTCCTCACATTCTCCTTTGTAACGACTGAGTCACAAGGCAATCCCCTCTTTGGTTCTACCGACTTAATATTTTCCTTTTGTTTTAATCTGTTGCCCATTTAAACCCTGAGTTTTTATATGTACCCAAATAGTACTACTTGTAATGACAGGTTTTGTTGGTAGATGAATGTCGTGTGTGTGTGTGTGTGTGTGTGTGTGTGTGTGTGTGTGTGTAGTGTAGTGTAATTGTCCTTAGTGAGTCTCCACTGCTCACTAGTCAACTTGTCAACTTGTTTTCCTAAAAAAGAATTTTCCTACTACGAATCCAGCTTGGAATGATGGTGTCCACCTTATTCACAACTCATGCTGGGGCACAGAACATTCTCCTGAAAGCTAGAGACCTGTTAGGCTCATTTGACAAGTTTAGCTTTGGAGCGTCTACAAATTCACAAACATGTTCCATCAACTTCTAAGCAGGGTAGTTACTCTTACGGTATGCATATGTATTTTCAAGGAAAGTTCCTTGTTTTAAAATTTTAGCCCACAGTCAAATTTAATTTTTATGCATATTATTTTTAATAGCCAAATGCATTATCTCTCTTATTTCTAAGATAATAAAATATATAAATGTATTTATTATTATGAGAAGCAGTATTTTGAAAAACAAGCTACAAATTGCTTCTTCCTAAAACTGTACATATATTACAAACTCTTGATATACTGACCTGTAAAGAGCAGCAGTTTTGACTTTCTTGATTCACGAGGCTGATGCTTATCTGGTGTCTTCTCTGTATCTTATCCATGTGTAAGGAAAAGGACACTCATTTCCTTAGACAAGAAAGCCAGACTCCTCAATGTGCTATTTCTCTTGCTACCACTTGACCATAAATTCTCAAGGGACAGAGCGTAGCTATACCATTCACAGTGCTGGAGGTGATGAGCTTGGAAACAGACTGAGTAGCCTTCAGACTCCTCCTTTGGTGGACCTGCAGAATCTCCCAGCTCAAATAACTGCGAACAGACCACCTGTTGGCAGTGACCATTTCAGAACCTAGTTCATTTTGCCCCATTTTCCTACCCACAGATATCCAGAGTTTCCTCCTAGTGCCAATATTGTGCCCAGTTCCTCTCAGATGTCATTTCCCTGCTACCCACTTCCTCCCTAAGATCCTTTGAGATCTGTTTCTTATGCATTCATCTCTCCCTTCTGAATCTCATCAAAGGGAAGCCTGTTACCTAGGTCTGACCCTGTCAATGATTTGCAAGTCACTTCTTTGAAGGTTGTCTGAATTGGAGCCACTACACATTTCTAATGACAGCTCCTTTAGAACAATTAGGACAGGAACTCTCAGAGTGGTTGAGTCCTAAGTGTATCAGTTTCCTGGTTTGTCGCAGAGACTATAGCCAAGTCCAGTTGAGCATTCTAGTCTGGGGTTCCCCTGCTCCTTTGCCTACAGCACACCAGCTACTCTGACAGCCCCATCCTGGCTATGTGAAAGCACTTCATGGACCTCACTTGTCTCCTTCTTCTCATGTGGACCAGACTCTGGGCTTTGCCCCTGGCCTATGGTGTTCTCATTCCATGTTCCATCTTTGGACATAGTGTCCCGTCTCACAGTTTCTTTTTTCCTTCCAGGATTGACTGTTACAGTTTTAGATTTATTTGACTTCAATTCTGCTCTATTCAAAATTATACTGAAATTAAATTATGTATAACTTTAACATGGGTTAAG